GGGACCTTTGTCTGTGTCTGTGTGTGTAGGTGCTGCTACACGCTACTGACTACAGCACTTGCCCCTACAACTTGCTAGAGACTACCTGGGGGAGCTTTGTCTGTGTGTGTGTAGGTGCTGCTACTCGTTACTACTGACAGCACTTGCCCCTACAGCCCTTCTCGAGGCTACCTGGGGGACCTTTGTCTGTGTCTCTGTGTGTAGGTGCTGCTACTCGCTACTGACTAGAGCACTTGCCCCTACAGCCTGCTAGAGGCTACCTGGGGGAGCTTTGTCTGTGTCTCTGTGTGTGTAGGTGCTGCTACTCGCTACTGACTACAGCACTTGCCCCTACAGCCCTTCTAGAGGCTACCTGGGGGAGCTTTGTCTGTGTGTGTGTAGGTGCTGCTACTCGCTACTGACTAGAGCACTTGCCCCTACAGCTTGCTAGAGGCTACCTGGGGGAGCTTTGTCTGTGTGTAGGTGCTGCTACTCGCTACTGACTAGAGCACTTGCCCCTACAGCCCTGCTAGAGGCTACCTGGGGGAGCTTTGCGTGTGTGTGTGTAGGTGCTGCTACTCGCTACTGACTACAGCACTTGCCCCTACAGCCCTTCTAGAGGCTACCTGGGGGAGCTTTGTCTGTGTGTGTGTAGGTGCTGCTACTCGCTACTGACTAGAGCACTTGCCCCTACAGCTTGCTAGAGGCTACCTGGGGGAGCTTTGTCTGTGTGTAGGTGCTGCTACTCGCTACTGACTAGAGCACTTGCCCCTACAGCCCTGCTAGAGGCTACCTGGGGGAGCTTTGCGTGTGTGTGTGTAGGTGCTGCTACTCGCTACTGACTAAAGCACTTGCCCCTACAGCCCTTCCAGAGGCTACCTGGGGGAGCTTTGTCTGTGTGTAGGTGCTGCTACTCGCTACTGACTAGAGCACTTGCCCCTACAGCTTGCTAGAGGCTACCTGGGGGAGCTTTGCGTGTGTGTGTGTAGGTGCTGCTACTCGCTACTGACTAAAGCACTTGCCCCTACAGCCCTTCCAGAGGCTACCTGGGGGATCTTTGTCTGTGTGTAGGTGCTGCTACTCGCTACTGACTAGAGCACTTGCCCCTCCAGCCTGCTAGAGGCTACCTGGGGGAGCTTTGTCTGCGTGTGTAGGTGCTGCTACTCGCTACTGAATAAAGCACTTGCCCCTCCAGCCTGCTAGAGGCTACCTGGGGGAGCTTTGTCTGTGTCTGTGTGTGTGTAGGTGCTGCTACTCGCCACTAGCAGCACTTGCCCCTCCAGCCTGCTAGAGGCTACCTGGGGGAGCTTTGTCTGTGTCTGTGTGTGTGTAGGTGCTGCTACTCGCTACTAACAGCACTTGCCCCTACATGCTGCTAGAGGCTACCTGGGGCACCTTTGTCTGTGTCCCTTGACCCCCCACACGCCCCTCCCCAACCAAGGCGTGCGCGACGTTTCGCGACCACCGCCACCGCCGTGAACACGAGGCGCCTCCGTGTGTACCGACGGTCCGGGCGAGGCCCTGAATCAGCACCACGTGGCGACCTCCGTCCATTCATCCGCCATCGGTTACCCGACCACGTGGTGCCAAGACCACGTGGCCACGTGGTCTGTGGGTCTCTGTGTGAGTGAGTCTATGGGTCTCTGTGTGTGTGTGGGTCTCTGTGTGAGTCTGTGGGTCTCTGTGTGAGTCTGTGGGTCTCTGTGTGAGTCTGTGGGTCTCTGTGTGAGTCTGTGGGTCTCTGTGTGAGTGAGTCTATGGGTCTCTGTGTGTGTGTGGGTCTCTGTGTGAGTGAGTCTGTGGGTCTCTGTGTGGTGAGTCTGTGGGTCTCTGTGTGAGTGAGTCTATGGGTCTCTATGTGAGTCTATGGGTCACTGTGTGAGTGAGTCTATGGGTCTCTGTGTGAGTGAGTCTGTGGGTCTCTGTGTGAGTCTGTGGGTCTCTGTGTGAGTGAGTCTATGGGTCTCTGTGTGTGTGTGGGTCTCTGTGTGAGTCTGTGGGTCTCTGTGTGGTGAGTCTGTGGGTCTCTGTGTGAGTGAGTCTATGGGTCTCTGTGTGAGTCTGTGGGTCTCTGTGTGAGTGAGTCTATGGGTCTCTGTGTGAGTCTGTGGGTCTCTGTGTGAGTGAGTCTATGGGTCTCTATGTGAGTCTATGGGTCACTGTGTGAGTGAGTCTATGGGTCTCTGTGTGAGTGAGTCTATGGGTCTCTATGTGAGTCTATGGGTCACTGTGTGAGTGAGTCTATGGGTCTCTGTGTGAGTGAGTCTATGGGTCTCTATGTGAGTCTATGGGTCACTGTGTGAGTGAGTCTATGGGTCTCTGTGTGAGTGAGTCTGTGGGTCTCTGTGTGAGTCTGTGGGTCTCTGTGTGAGTGAGTCTATGGGTCTCTGTGTGTGTGTGGGTCTCTGTGTGAGTCTGTGGGTCTCTGTGTGGTGAGTCTGTGGGTCTCTGTGTGAGTGAGTCTGTGGGTCTCTGTGTGAGTGAGTCTATGGGTCTCTGTGTGAGTGAGTCTATGGGTCACTGTGTGAGTGAGTCTGTGGGTCACTGTGTGAGTGAGTCTATGGGTCTCTGTGTGAGTGAGTCTGTGGGTCACTGTGTGAGTGAGTCTATGGGTCACTGTGTGAGTGAGTCTGTGGGTCTCTGTGTGAGTCTATGGGTCTCTGTGTGAGTGAGTCTATGGGTCACTGTGTGAGTGAGTCTGTGGGTCTCTGTGTGAGTGATTCTATGGGTCTCTGTGTGAGTGAGTCTATGGGTCTCTGTGTGAGTGAGTCTGTGGGTCTCTGTGTGAGTGAGTCTATGGGTCTCTGTGTGAGTGAGTCTGTGGGTCTCTGTGTGAGTGAGTCTATGGGTCTCTGTGTGAGTGAGTCTATGGGTCACTGTGTGAGTGAGTCTGTGGGTCTCTGTGTGAGTGAGTCTATGGGTCTCTGTGTGAGTGAGTCTATGGGTCTCTGTGTGAGTGAGTCTGTGGGTCTCTGTGTGAGTGAGTCTGTGGGTCTCTGTGTGAGTCTGTGGGTCTCTGTGTGAGTGAGTCTATGGGTCTCTATGTGAGTCTATGGGTCACTGTGTGAGTGAGTCTATGGGTCTCTGTGTGAGTGAGTCTATGGGTCTCTATGTGAGTCTATGGGTCACTGTGTGAGTGAGTCTATGGGTCTCTGTGTGAGTGAGTCTATGGGTCTCTATGTGAGTCTATGGGTCACTGTGTGAGTGAGTCTATGGGTCTCTGTGTGAGTGAGTCTGTGGGTCTCTGTGTGAGTCTGTGGGTCTCTGTGTGAGTGAGTCTATGGGTCTCTATGTGAGTCTATGGGTCACTGTGTGAGTGAGTCTATGGGTCTCTGTGTGAGTGAGTCTATGGGTCTCTATGTGAGTCTATGGGTCACTGTGTGAGTGAGTCTATGGGTCTCTGTGTGAGTGAGTCTATGGGTCTCTATGTGAGTCTATGGGTCACTGTGTGAGTGAGTCTATGGGTCTCTGTGTGAGTGAGTCTGTGGGTCTCTGTGTGAGTCTGTGGGTCTCTGTGTGAGTGAGTCTATGGGTCTCTGTGTGTGTGTGGGTCTCTGTGTGAGTCTGTGGGTCTCTGTGTGGTGAGTCTGTGGGTCTCTGTGTGAGTGAGTCTGTGGGTCTCTGTGTGAGTCTGTGGATCTCTGTGTGAGTGAGTCTATGGGTCTCTGTGTGGTGAGTCTGTGGGTCTCTGTGTGGTGAGTCTATGGGTCTCTGTGTGAGTGAGTCTGTGGGTCTCTGTGTGAGTGAGTCTGTGGTTATCTGTGTTGTGAGACCCAAAGACTCACTCACACAGAGACCCATAAACTCACTCGCACAGAGACCCACAGACTCACTCACACAGAGACCCACAGACTCACACAGAGACCCACAGACTCACACAGAGACCCATAGACTCACTCACACAGAGACCCATAGACTCACTCGCACAGAGACCCATAGACTCACTCACACAGAGACCCATAGACTCACTCACACAGAGACCCATAGACTCACACAGAGACCCACAGACTCACTCACACAGAGACCCATAGACTCACTCGCACAGAGACCCATAGACTCACACACACAGAGACTCACTCACACAGAGACCCATAGACTCACTCACACAGAGGCCCATAGACTCACACAGAGACCCATAGGCTCACTCACACAGAGACCCTTAGACTCACACAGAGACCCACAGACTCACTCACACAGAGACCCACAGACTCACTCACACAGAGACCCATAGACTCACTCACACAGAGACCCATAGACTCACTCACACAGAGACCCATAGACTCACACAGAGACCCATAGACTCACTCACACAGAGACCCACAGACTCACTCACACAGAGACCCATAGACTCACTCGCACAGAGACCCATAGACTCACTCACACAGAGACCCATAGACTCACTCACACAGAGACCCACAGACTCACTCACACAGAGACCCATAGACTCACTCACACATAGACCCATAGACTCACTCACACAGTGACCCATAGACTCACATAGAGACCCATAGACTCACTCACACAGAGACCCACAGACTCACTCACACAGAGACCCACAGACTCACTCACACAGAGACCCATAGACTCACTCACATAGAGACCCACAGACTCACTCACACAGAGACCCATAGACTCACTCACACAGAGACCCACAGACTCACTCACACAGAGACCCACAGACTCGCTCACACAGAGACCCACAGACTCACTCACACAGAGACCCATAGACTCACTCACACAGAGACCCATAGACTCACTCACACAGAGACCCATAGACTCACTCACACAGAGACCCATAGACTCACTCACACAGAGACCCATAGACTCACTCACACAGAGACCCATAGACTCACTCACACAGAGACCCATAGGGTCACACAGACTGAGTTGTGATCAGATGGTGGTGACGCAATGGTTAATGGAATGCCATTATCAGTCCTGAGTTATTTTAACTACGTGTGTCTGTGTGTGTCTGTGTGTGTCTGTGTGTGTGTGACTGTGTGTGTGTCTGTGTGTGTCTGTGTCTGTGTGTGTCTGTGTGTGTGTGTCTGTGTGTGTGTCTGTGTGTGTCTGTGTGTGTGTGTCTGTGTGTGTGTGTCTGTGTGTGTCTGTGTGTGTGTCTGTGTGTGTCTGTGTGTCTGTGTGTGTGTCTGTGTGTGTCTGTGTGTGTCTGTGTGTGTCTGTGTGTGTGTGTGTCTGTGTGTGTCTGTGTGTGTGTGTGTCTGTGTGTGTCTGTGTGTGTGTGTCTGTGTGTGTGTGTCTGTGTGTGTGTGTCTGTGTGTGTGTCTGTGTGTGTGTCTGTGTGTGTGTGACTGTGTGTGTGTCTGTGTGTGTCTGTGTCTGTGTGTGTCTGTGTGTGTGTGTCTGTGTGTGTGTCTGTGTGTGTCTGTGTGTGTGTGTCTGTGTGTGTGTGTCTGTGTGTGTCTGTGTGTGTGTCTGTGTGTGTCTGTGTGTCTGTGTGTGTGTCTGTGTGTGTCTGTGTGTGTCTGTGTGTGTCTGTGTGTGTGTGTGTCTGTGTGTGTCTGTGTGTGTGTGTGTCTGTGTGTGTCTGTGTGTGTGTGTCTGTGTGTGTGTGTGTCTGTGTGTGTGTCTGTGTGTGTCTGTGTGTGTGTCTGTGTGTGTGTGTCTGTGTGTGTCTGTGTGTGTGTGTCTGTGTGTGTGTGTCTGTGTGTGTCTGTGTGTGTCTGTGTGTGTCTGTGTGTGTCTGTGTGTGTCTGTGTGTCATAACAACAGTCTGGATCACTGGACGGGTTCCGCAGGATTGGAAGGATGCCCTGGTGGTCCCCCTCTTTAAGAAGGGGGACCGCACAGACTGTGACAACTACAGGGGCATCTCACTCCTCAGTGTGCCGGGAAAGGTCCTGGCAAGGATTATTCAACATCGCCTTGCTAGGCACGCTGAGGAGAGGCTTGCGGAGCCCCAATGCGGTTTCAGGAAAGGGCGGTCCTGCACAGATGCCATATTTTCTGTCCGTCTGCTACAGCAGAGGTGTAGGGAATTCCAACAAGACCTACATCTCTGCTTTATTGACCTGGTCAAGGCCTATGATACCATCAGTAGGCCTGGGCTCTGGGTTGTTCTTCGTGCTTTCGGAGTCCCTGATCCTCTGCTCACGATCATTAAGGACTCTGGGCAAAGTCCCATCGGTGAGCTCCTCCGGCAGGCAAGGCTGCGTTGGCTGGGTCATGTAGCCCGCATGCCCAGCCACCGCATGCCTAAACAGCTTTTGTTCGGCCGGATCGAGGGGGCTAAACGGGCGCGGCACGGACTAGAGAAGAGATGGAGTGATGGGTGAGTGCGTGGGTGAGTGTGTGGGTGGGTGAGTGAGTGGGTGAGTGGGTGAGTGTGTGAGTGTGTGGGTGACACGGGCTAGAGAAGAGATGGAGTGATGTGGTACAGGAGGACGTGGAGCTGAGTGGACTTGCCGATGACTGGTACCAGCGGTGTCAAGATCGGCCTCAGTGGAGGAGGCTCGTGAAGGACGCTACTGGGCAGTTGGAGGCAGTCGCCCTCCAACAACAACGGAGGGCGGAGGAGCGACGCTCACAACAACGAGCGGAGCGCCGGGTGGCTAAAGCGCAGCAAGTTGGTACAGTAGGGGGCACAGGTGGTGCATCAGCCAGTCATCTTAGTCAGCCAGCCCATGGCACCTGCTGGGTCTGTCCCGTGACCTCCTCATGCACCTAGCCTGGCACAGTAGTACAACCCATGGCACCTGTAGGGTCTGTCCCGTGACCTCCTCCTGCACCTAGCCTGGCACAGTAGTACAACCCATGGCACCTGCAGGGTCTGTCCCGTGACCTCCTCCTCATGCACCTAGCCTGGCACAGCATTACAACCCATGGCACCTGCTGAGTCTGTCCCGTGACCTCCTCCTGCACCTAGCCTGGCACAGCAGTACAACCCATGGCACCTGCAGGGTCTGTCCCGTGACCTCCTCCTCATGCACCTAGCCTGGCACAGCATTACAACCCATGGCACCTGCAGGGTCTGTCCCGTGACCTCCTCCTGCACCTAGCCTGGCACAGCAGTGAGTGTCTGTGTAGTGTGTGGTGTGCGTGTGTGTCTGTAACAGCACTTGCCCCTGCAGCCCTGCTCGAGGCTACCTGGGGGACCTTTGTCTGTGTGTGATTATTGCTGTCGGAATCAAGATTCTTTGAGCGTTTTGCAGTTTGCAACTAAATAAGGAAGGCACTACTACAGCAAGCCCTAACACAGCATCATCATCATCATCAGCAACATCATCAGCAGCAGCAGCATCAGCAGCATCAGTAGCAATGTCATCACCATCATCATCAACATCATCAGCATCAGTAGCAATGTCACCACCATCATCATCATCATCAGCAACATTATCAGTAGCATTAGCACCGTCATCAGCAGCATCACCACCATCATCAGCAGTATCATCAGCATCATCACCATCATCATCAGCATCATCATCAGCATCATCATCATCAGCATCATCATCAGCATCATCATCACCATCATCATCACTATCATCATCACCACCATCATCATCATCACCATCACCACCATCATCAGCATCATCATCATCACCATCATCACCATCATCACCATCATCAGCATCATCATCACCATCATCATCAGTAGCAACAGCATCATCAGCAGCAGCATCATCACCACCATCACCACAATCACCATCATCACCATCACCACCACCATCATCATCAGTAGCATCAGCATCACCATCATCACCATCATCACCACCACCACCATCACCACCATCACCATCATCACCATCACCACCATCACCACCATCACCATCATCACCATCACCACCATCAGTAGCAACAGCATCAGTAGCAACAGCATCATCACCATCACCACCATCATCAGCATCAGTAGCATCATCATCATCACCATCATCACCATCATCAGCATCATCATCACCATCATCATCATCAGTAGCAACAGCATCATCACCACCATCATCATCATCATCACCATCATCATCATCACCATCATCCTCACCATCATCATCACCACCATCACCACCATCACCATCACCACCACCATCATCATCATCACCATCATCACCATCATCATCACCATCATCATCACCACCATCACCACCATCACCATCACCACCACCATCATCATCATCACCATCATCATCACCATCATCATCACCATCATCATCATCACCATCATCACCACCATCACCATCATCACCACCATCATCATCATCACCATCATCATCACCATCATCACCACCATCATCATCATCACCATCATCATCACCATCATCATCATCACCACCACCATCATCACCACCATCATCATCACCATCATCATCACCATCATCATCATCACCATCATCATCACCATCATCATCATCACCACCACCATCATCATCATCACCATCATCATCACCATCATCACCACCATCATCATCAGTAGCAACAGCATCATCATCAGCAGCAGCATCATCACAATCGTAACCAGCATCACATTACAACCCACCCACCCACCCAAACCGATCCGGGTATACGGGGATTGATCATATCTGGAGTATTGATCAGTGAATAGGGAATCGATCAGGGGATCTGAGGTTTGATCTGGGATATTGATCAGTGGAAAGTAGAATCTGAGATTTGATCTGTGATATTGATCAGTGAATAAGAGATTGATCTGGGGATCTGAGATTCCATCTGTAATATTGATCAGTGAAAAGTAGAATCTCAGATTTTATCTGGAATATTGATCAGTGAATAGGTAATCGATCAAGGGATCTGATATTCGATCTGGGATATTGATCAGTCAATGGTAGATCTGAGATTCGATCAGTAATATTGATCAGTGAAAAGTAAAATATGAGATTTGATCTGGACTATTGATCAGGCAATAGTAGATCTGATATTTGAGCTGGAGAATTGATCAGTGAACATGAGATTGATCAGGCGATCTGAGATTCTATCTGGAATATTGATCACTGAATAGGATATCGATCAGGTGATCTGCTATCCTATCCAGAATATTGATCACCAAATAGGATATTGATCAGGCCATCTGAGATTATATCCAGAATATTGATCACCAAATAGGATATCGATCAGGCGATCTGAGATTCTATCCGGAATATTGATCACCGAATAGGATATTGATCAGGCCATCTGAGATGCTATCCAGAATATTGATCACCAAATAGGATATCGATCAGGTGATCTGCTATCCTATCCAGAATATTGATCACCAAATAGGATATTGATCAGGCCATCTGAGATTATATCCAGAATATTGATCACCAAATAGGATATCGATCAGGCGATCTGAGATTCTATCCGGAATATTGATCACCGAATAGGATATTGATCAGGCCATCTGAGATGCTATCCAGAATATTGATCACCAAATAGGATATCGATCAGGCGATCTGAGATCCTATCCAGAATATTGATCACCAAAAAGATATTGTGTGTCAGGGGGAGTGAACAGCACTTGCCCCAACAGCCAATGTAGGCTACACGGGGGACCTTTGTCTGTGTGTGTGTCAGGGGCTGTGAACTGCACTTGCCCCAGCAGTCGATGTAGGCTACACGGGGGACCTTTGTCTGTGTCTGTGTGTGTGTTAGGGGCCAGTGAACAGCACTTGCCCCTACATCGCTGCAGAGGCTACTCGGGGCTTCTTTGTCTTTGTGTGATGTCCTCAGTTGATAAAAATCACGTCTTGAGAGATCTGAAAGTATTCTGTGGGACAGAGAGACACAGAGACACTCACTAAACCACTCACCCACTCACTCACCACTTACTCATCACTCACCCAGTCACTCACCCAGTCACTCACCCAGTCACTCACCACTCACTCACTCACTCACCCAGCCACTCACTAAACCACTCACTCACTCAGTCACTCACTCACTCAGTCACTCACTCACCCAGCCACTCACTAAACCACTCACTCACTCAGTCACTCACTCACTCAGTCACTCACTCACCACTCACTCACCCACTCACTAACACCACTCACTCAACCACTCACCCAGCACTCACCTC